GTAAAAATTTTTTTTTTAATTCTAAATTCTGAAAATCATATGCTCAAAAATGTAAATACTGACTGAGTACGGGTATAAGTAGAGTCGCGTCTTTAGAAGCGACTCACACGTTCCTTCTCGTTTTTTTTTGGTGTATGTTCATCGGTACTTTTGCCGATTTGAATAATTCTTTTTTAGTTTGTATTGAATATCCCTAATGTTAATTTAGTAAATACCAAAAATAGACATTATAGTATTATAAGGTTTTCACTTGCTGGTAACACTAAAAACGTAAACCACGCGGATGACTTTTTTTCTTTCTTTTTCTTTCTGATCTCGTGAGTGGTGGTTGTGTGCTGTGCCAAAATAAAGTAATATAATTGATAAAACTAAAACTAACTACGCATATATTATTATTTAAAAGAGGAATCCCAACAGGTTATGGGCCCAGACTACGCCTAACATAGTTTGACGAGTGAAAAATTAGTTAGTTAGAAAAATTGCTTTGATTTGCACCACGTTGTGAAATTGTGTCCCTCATACATACACATATACATATAGCTGAGTGTGTGTGTGCAAAGTACAGTATCATGGAAAAAGCAAAACGCAACATTAAGGCTTTTGACGGGGAAAAGTATTCAGTGTGGAAATTTAGAATTAGAGCCCTATTCGCCGAGTTAGATGGGCTTAAAGTAATTGACGAGAATGTTCCGGATAATGCTGACGATTCCTGGAAAAAGGCAGAGCGTTGTGCTAAAAGCACTCTGATAGAATAGCTCAGCGACTCTTTCTTAAACTTTGCGACGAGCGACAACACGGCGCGACAAATTCTCAGGAATTTAGACGCCATTTATGAGCGAAAAAGTCTGGCGTCGCAGTTAGCGGTTCGAAAAAAGATTGCTGTCGCTGAAGTTGCAGAGTGAGACAGCACTACTGTGTCATTTTAACATTTTCGATGAACTGATGAGTGAGTTGTTAGCGTCAGGGGCGAAAATCGACGAAATGGACAAAGTGTCGCACTTGCTATTGACCTTGCCATCGTCATATAATGGAGTAATAACTGCGATTGAGACCCTAGCTGAGGAAAATCTTACTTTAGCTTTCGTAAAGAACAGATTGCTCGACCACGAGATAAAAATTAAAAACGATAGCAGTGATACAAGCAGGAAAGTTATGAAGGCAGCGGTATACAATAACAATAATTATAAAAATAGACCATTTAAGAACAGTAACAGTGGAATTCGAAAGCAATTAAAGGGAAAAGGAAAGTTTAATATCAAGTGTCATCACTGTGGAAAGGAAGGGCATATTAAAAAAGATTGTTTTGCGTTTAAAAGAATTACTAATGATAAAAATAAAGAAAATAACAAACAAGCACAAATAGCATCAACTCAACCCGGCTTCGCGTTTATGTTAAGTCGTTTTGATAAAAATAAATCCAAAAGTGAAAATAAGAAGGTCAAATTTGTATTGGATTCTGGTGCCACAGACCATATCGTAAATGACGAGAAACTGTTCATTGATAGCATCGACCTTGATTCTCCCATTAAAATTGCTATTGCCAAGCATGGCGAATTTATTTTTGCAAAGAAACGCGGTATTGTCAGACTCGACAATGGAAACCAAATCACGCTTGAGGATGTGCTCTATTGCGAGGATGTTGCAGAAAACTTAATTTCTGTCAACCGACTGCAGGCGGCTGGAATGACCGTTACGTTTGGCAGTAAAGGTGTGAAAATATTGAAGGATGGATATGTTGTTGCTGAAAATTCAGGTATGTTCAATTCCCCAATTATTGAATTTAAAGCCTATACATCAAATGTGGATAAGAAAAATAATGAATATCGGTTATGGCATGAGAGATTAGGTCACATTAGTAAAGGGAAATTGCTGGAAATTAAGAGAAATAATCCATTTAGTGACAATAATCTTCTAGATAACGTTAATCCAATTGATGAGATATGTGAAGCATGTTTAAATGGCAAGCAAGCCAGATTGCGTTTTGAAAAACAGAAAAATAAACAGTATATAAATAGACCCCTTTATGTAATCCATTCTGATGTATGCGGGCCAATAACACCGGTTTCAATGGACGACAAAAACTACTATGTTATTTTTGTGGATCAACACACACATTATTGTGTTACGTATTTAATGAAACATAAATCAGATGTTTTTACAATGTTTAAGGATTTTGTAGCGAAAAGTGAGGCACATTTCAACCTTAAAGTTGTAAATCTCTATATAGATAATGGTAGGGAATATCTATCCAGTGACATGCGTGAATATTGTGTACAGAAAGGTATAAGTTACCATTTGACTGTTCCATATACACCGCAATTAAACGGCGTATCAGAAAGGATGATCGGAACGATTACTGAAAAAGCTCGTAGTATGGTAAATGGTGCTAAATTAGATAAACGTTACTGGGGTGAAGCTGTTTTGACAGCAACATATTTAATTAACAGGATTCCGACTAGGGCACTTGATGATAGTTCAAAAACTCCGTATGAGGCATGGCACAATAGAAAGCCTAGTCTAAAATATTTGAAGATATTTGGTTCAACAGTGTATGTCCAGTGTATATTAAAAACAGAAAAAGAAAATTCGTTGAAAAATCATGTAAAACAGTTTTAGTTGGCTATGAACCAAATGGTTTAAAACTATGGGACATAAATAATGAAAAATTTATTGTCGCAAGAGACGTAATCGTAGACGAAACAAATATGATTAATTCTAGAGCTGTGAAAAGTAAAATGGAATTCCTTAATGAGAGTAAGGAGATTAATAATACAGATATCCTGAATGAGAGTAAGGAAAATGATTTAATAAATATCCTGAATGAGAGTAAGGAGATCAATAATACAAACTTCCTGAATGAGAGTAAGGAAAGTGATAAAATAAATATCCTGAATGAGAGTAAGGAGAATTATATAAATTGTATCCTGAATGAGAGTAAGGAAAGTGATAAAATAAATATCCTGAATGAGAGTAAGGAGAATAATATAGATTGTATCCTGAATGAGAGTAAGGATTGTGATACAGTTTGTAACCTGAATGAGAGTAAGGAAAATAATAAAGTATTTATCCAGAATGACAGTATGGAGAAAAGATTTGACTCGAAACAGCCTAGTGACAGTAATGAGAGTATTTCTAGAAGAAGCGATAGGCTAAAGAACCTGCCTCAAATATCATACAAGGAAGACGAAATCGATTACAATAATTATATTTTAAATGCTCATACAATATTTAGTGATATTCCAAGTTCATTCGAAGAAATACAAAGTAGGAGTGACAAATCTTTATGGGAGGCCGCTATTAAAACTGAATTGGATGCCCATGAATTTAACAATACCTGGTCGATTGTTAGGAAGCCTGAGAATATTAACATTGTTGACAGCAAATGGGTTTTTACGTTAAAGTCTGACGAATTTGGTAATCCAAAAAGATACAAAGCTAGATTAGTGGCGCGTGGGTTCACGCAGAAATATCTTATTGATTATGAAGAAACATTTGCTCCTGTGGCTAGAATAGCAAGTTTCCGTTTCTTATTATCCATTTCAATCCAATATGATTTAAAAGTACATCACATGGATGTAAAAAGTGCATTTCTTAATGGAAAGTTAAAAGAAGAAATATTTATGAGAGTGCCCCAAGGTGTGTTATGTAGTGCTAATAGTGTATGTTAATTGAATAAAGCAATTTACGGTCTCAAACAAGCAGCAAGATGCTTGAGGTATTTGAGCAAGCACTAAAAGAGTGTGGGTTTGTAAACTCACCGGTTGACCGATGTATTTATGTTCTGGACAAGGGCGATGTGAAAAAGAATATATATTTACTTCTTTATGGATTTTATGGATTGCAAATCAGTCAGTACTCCCCTTGCAAGCAAGGTTAATTATGAATTATTAAATTCAGATGAATTTTATGATGCGCCTTGACGGAACTTAGTCGGTTGTCTTATGTATGTAATGTTATGTACACGTCCAGACTTGGCCACTGCTGTTAACATTTTAAGTCGATATATGAATAAAAATAATGCAGAGTTATGGATATGTTTGAAAAGGATTCTTAGATATCTAAAAGGGAATATTGACATGAAATTAGAATTTAATAAAAATTTGAGTTTTGAAAATATATTTGTTGGATATGCAGATTCTGACTGGGGAGGAAATGAAATTGACAGGAAGAGTACAACTGGGTATCTATTCAAAATGTTTAACCAAAATCTTATATGCTGGAATACAAAAAGGCAAAATTCAGTAGCTGCCTCATCGACCGAGGCAGAATACATGGCCTTGTTCGAAGCTGTAAGAGAAGCTTTATGGTTGAAATCCTTATTAGAAAGTGTTCATATTAAGTTTGTAAAACCTATAAAATTATATGAAGATAATCAGGGATGTATTAGTATAGCTAATAATCCCTCATGCCATAAAAGATCAAAACATATCGATATCAAATATCATTTTACAAAAGAGCAAATAGAAAATAATGTAATTTGTATCAAGTATGTTTCCACAGAGAACCAACTTGCTGACATTCTAACCAAGCCGTTACCTGCTCCACGCTTTATGGATTTACGCGGAAAAATGGGACTGGATGAAGGAGCCAACCTACAAGAATAATTTTGTTCTTTCTAATTTTTGCTAAATTTCTTTATATTATATAACTGTACCTGTCTAAGTCTAAGAGTGATCTGATTGGGTTTTATGGGTTTTCCCAATCCTAGCAGCAAATGCTGGATCACTGAATTGTACGTTCCCAATAGAAAAGAAAATGAGCAAGCACCAGCCACATAGAATAAGTTGAAAACATGTTATTCTTAATTTTAATTTTTTTTTTATTTGATTTGATTTATAATGCAATTTTTGAGGGGGCGTATTGAATATCCCTAATGTTAATTTAGTAAATACCAAAAATAGACATTATAGTATTATAAGGTTTTCACTTGCTGGTAACACTAAAAACGTAAACCACGCGGATGACTTTTTTTCTTTCTTTTTCTTTCTGATCTCGTGATGGTGGTTGTGTGCTGTGCCAAAATAAAGTAATATAATTGATAAAACTAAAACTAACTACGCATATATTATTATTTAAAAGAGGAATCCCAACAGTTTGAAAGGCTATACTCCTACATTGGTCCCATTACACTAGTCAACACGGCATTCTGAATCAGATCAGATCATAATTATAGCCAAAATGAAGAAATTCATTTTCAGTTGATTTTTCCGCCTCCCCCTGCCAAAGACACGCTACTCATTCTCTCTCTCGCTGGCACACTCTGCCGCGTTCAGTGCGCAAACAACCCCGTGGGGAGGAGATGTAGAATATAAATGGTACATCTATAATCTAAATGTTAGATGTAAAATATACATTTTAGATGTAGATAACAGATGTAGCAAAAAATGTAATATGTAAAATTTTTTTTTTAATTTTAAAATTCTAAAAAATCATAAGCTCAAAAATGTATATACTGACTGGGTACGGGTATAAGTAGAGTCGCGTCCCCAGAAGCGATTCACACGTTCCTTCTCGTTTTATTTAAAGACATTTTTTTAAATCTGGTATTTTTTACTCGTTTTTTTTAAGAGGTAGTGCTTCTTTTTTTTACATAACTAAAGTACCTTACATCTGGTTGTATTGAACTTTGCAATTCTGAAAAGCTGATACTTGCAGCTGAAAATCGGGCCCAAACACATTGTAGCTGCAGCTTGTCTGGAAAATATTAAGCTTTCAAATTCGATAATATCTTCCGGTGTATTTTTCCGAAATTTTGACTTTGAAAACTCAGGAAAGTCGAAAACAAATTATTTCTTAGGCTGAATTTTTGGCTTTAGATATTAACATTAATAAGGCGTCGTTTAGGGTATCGCTTGTAAAAATCTATGAACAAACGGCTGGGGTGCAGCCGGTTGATCAAACCTTTAGTGTCACACTTTGTCGTTACAATTTCTACTCATAATAAAATATCGAGTTTAAGATTATTTTATCGATGCTGGAAAATAATAATACCAACATTATTTGAGCCAACGCTAATTCACACAATGCAACGAAAGCTTAACTTCACAGAGAGCGATCGATCCTGAAAAATGTATTTTTTAATAAAGTGCCAAAAGTTCTATGTATTTAGTGACAAAAAAATTAAAAATATAAATAATGCAAAATGTTTGGCTAAATTCAAAAGCGGTTGTTTTGAAGCTGAAATAATTGATGCTTCCCGTAAGTTCATATATTTCATTAAAATTTAACTAAACATTGGTTGAAATTAAAAAAAAAATTTTTTCAGATAGCGAAAAAACTTTACAAATAAAATGCCGGAAGTTTAATGATGATCTTGGTGAGTTCTTTTAAAAATAAAATATCAAACATTAATAAATGTATACATTGTTATTTCGTTCAAATTTCTTGTCTGTGGGTATAAACATATATGTACATAGTGACGGGCCCTACAATTAAAAAATCGCGCGTGTTTCTCGTCTGTCTCCGTATAAATATATGCGCACATAGATATTTCGTCCAAATTTCTTGTCTGTGGGTATAAACATATATGTACATAGTGACGGGCCCTACAAATTGAAAAATCGCGCGAGTTTCTCGTCTTTCTCCGTATAAATATATGCGTACATAGTTATTTCGTTCAAATTTCTTGTCTGTGGGTATAAACATATTTGTACATAGTGACGGACCCTACAAATTGAAAAATCGCGCGTGTTTCTCGTCTTTTTCCGCATAAATATATGCGTACATAGTTATTTCGTTCAAATTTCTTGTCTGTGGGTATAAACATATTTGTACATAGTGACGGACCCTACAATTTAAAAAATCGTGCGAGTTTCTCGTCTGTCTGCGTATAAATATATGCGTACATAGTTATTTCGTTCAAAATTCTTTTCTGTGGGTATAAACATATATGTACATAGTGACGGGCCCTACAAATTGAAAAATCGCGCGAGTTTCTCGTCTTTCTCCGTATAAATATATATGTACATAGATATTTCGTCAAAATTTCTTGTCTGTGGGTATAAACATATATGTACATAGTGACGGACCCTACAATTTAAAAAATCGCGCGATTTTCTCGTCTGTCTCCGTATAAATATATGCGTACATAGTTATTTCGTTCAAATTTCTTGTCTGTGGGTATAAACATATATGTACATAGTGACGGACCCTACAATTTAAAAAATCGTGCGAGTTTCTCGTCTGTCTGCGTATAAATATATGCGTACATAGTTATTTCGTTCAAATTTCTTGTCTGTGGGTATAAACATATATGTACATAGTGACGGGCCCTACAAATTGAAAAATCGCGCGTGTTTCTCGTCTTTTTCCGCATAAATATATGCGTACATAGATATTTCGTTCAAATTTCTTGTCTGTGGGTATAAACATATACATATGTACATAGTGACGGGCCCTACAATTAAAAAATCGCGCGTGTTTCTCGTCTGTCTGCGCATAAAAATATGCGTACATAGTTATTTCGTCAACACTTATTGTCTGTGGGTATAAACATATATGTACATAGTGACGGACCCTACAATTAAAAAAATTATGGACAAAGAATTTGTCATATGTTAAATTTCATCAAAATCGTTTTTGTAACAAAAATAAAATTTTTTTTATAAATTAATTTATAATATTATAATTTTCAGATGCTGTCGAACTGACCGAACAATTTCCAGAAGTGACACGCCCAGACAGTACCAAGGTTGAAGCTCCGCTAGGTATTTCACAATTCAAGCCATTTCAAAAATAAAAATTGTAGTAAAACTATTTATAATAATATTATAAATTTCAGATTCTGTCGAACTGACCGAACAATGTCCTCAAGTTACACGCGGCGGCAGTACCAAAGTTGAAGCTCTGCTAGGTAAGTAACAATTCATGTCATTTCAAATTATGTTGACCTTTTGTGTACATCCTATAAAAAGCAATATTAATATGTCTAGAATTTGTAAACGACAGCTAAATAATGGTTAGATATTTAAAAACAATTTACCAATAGCAATTTTTGCATGTGCTTGTTACGCTTTAACTACATTGTTTAAGAAACAAGTTTTTAAAAGTTACGTTGAAGTTCATCATCAATCATTATTTAGCTTTCGTTAACAAATTCTAGACTATTTATTATTGCGTGTTCGTATTTTTTAAAACATTTTTCTTTAAGTTTGGTCTTACATAGTTTTTATTTTATACAAATTGTTGGAGACAATTGTGTTGACGAGGCATAGTAACTGTTTTAATGTTATCAACGGCTTTGTTTCGAATAAATTTGTTTCATATTTCATTTAAAGCACATCTTATTTGTAAACCCTAAAGACACCTGTCATTATTCAGCATTATCGTTTTATACTGAAACTACTGCTCTTGACATTTTGCATTTGTTTATGAAACTAACTTTAATGGACTGTAAATTTTATTCATTTCAGATAAACGTAATGGAGATCGCACAAAAACCAGAACAGTTGATGTGGCTGGATCGAAAACTATTGTTTCGTTTGTCAAGGATGTCTGTGCTTCGAGTAAGTATACCAGTTCCTTAACTTTACAACTGCCATATATTTTTTTTTACTGATTTTTAAATTTTTATTAATTTTAGATAAACTAAATGAAGACCGTGGAACAGTTGATGTGGCTGGATCGCAAACTGGTTTTTCGTTTGGCAACAGCCTTCCTAATTTTGAAAAGGATGTCGGTGCTTTCAGTAAGTATACCACTTCCTTAACTTGAAAAATGTAATTTTGTACTGATTTTTTAAAATTTTTATTAATTTTAGATAAATTAAATGAAGACCGTGGAACAGTTGATGAGGATGGATCAGAAACTGGTGTTTCGTTTGTCAATGAGAGCACACCTTATTTTAAAAACAATATCGGTATTCAAAGTAAGTGATTTTTTCGTAAATAGTATGAATCTATCAGGTATTTGTTGAATAAACTTGAACTTTTTTTTATAATTACAATATTGAACAAATTTGTGGTTTTTAAGTGTGTCCGAATTGACAGTTTGATAATTTTTATATATATATAGATTCGACGGTACGGTCAAATGACTCATTAAAATCTAATGCCCAGTCTGAAACACTTGTCTCGCCATTCGAGCCCAGTAATTTAAGCCTTAATAGTAAAAATGATTTGTCTATATCGTTATCTACTGAGACCCCTGTTTATGATATAAGAAAATTATCAATTCCCATTTCTCAACAAAGAAAGAGCAAGCAACATTTCTGTATGTATTGTAAAAAGCTTCAAACAAAATTTGCAAGACATCTGCAAGTAATGCATAAAAATGAAAAGGAGGTTAAACAAATGTTGCTTTTTCCAAAGCTTCACGCAGAAAGAAAAAAATTGATCGAAAAAATCCGAAAAGCTGGTGACTATCTGCATAACACAGATCAAGCATTCAACAGTGGCACTTTAATATTAACTCGTCAAAAAAGGGCTAATTCGGGAAACACTGCCGAAGATATGGTATGCTGCAAATCATGTCGCGGATTTTTTCCAAAGTCTACCATTCGCTGTCACTCCAAAAACTGTAATCTAAAAAAATCTAAAAGCCAATCAAAAAATGAAGTAAATGAGCTTAAGGAAGTAATGACCCCCAAATATCACGACATCATTGTTAAATGCATCCGTAATGTGGCTAAGTGGGATAATGAACTCATGTTCTTCGGAACGCCCTCGGTGGCGACTAACTTAACGTCTTTAATAAAGAAATGCGCAAAAATATTTCATTCTTTTTGTATAAAAAACCTTGATATGGAAAAGAAACAAATTGTTTCGGATTTTTTAGCACTTTGGGAAATGGAGGTTCACATCGACACATTGAAGACCAGACGAAAAAAAAACGGTCGACCAAAATTATGTTGCCTTCTAAAGAAGACATTAAGTAACTTTTCGATCATGTCAATAAAATATCCGAAGAAGCTCTAGCAGTTTTGAAAGTTAAATTCGATTTGGCGAAGTGGTGTTCCTTGGTCCAAAGTACTTTAGTCAGTCTTCAAATTTTTAATCGCCGTCGTGCTGGTGAAATAGAAAGGCTAACGATTGAAAACTACAAAACATCTCATGAAGCAGCTGAGAACATGGACGCGGATATTTTAAAAAAACTATCAACAAAAACACAACAAATTGCAAAAAAATATTCCCGAATCACCATTCGTGGAAAATTAAATAGAACGGTGCCTGTCGTTTTGACACCGTTTGATAAATTCTGCATTGACACTATTTTAAAATATCGCTAGGACGCTGGTGTAAAAAGTACAAATGACTACATTTTCAATGTGCCACATACTGGTAACTTGGCTAAAAAATATATTCGGGCGTGCCCAATTTTAAAAAAATATTCTGATGAATGCGGTGCTGTTTGTCCAAAAGCCTTGAGAGGCACAATGCTTCGAAAGCATCTAGCAACGTATACCTCAATGCTGAACGTAGAAGACGTACAAATAGACCGTTTGGCGAACTTTATGTGTCATCATAAAGATATACACAAGGAAATATACGGTGTCCCTGCTACAGTTGCCGAAATTACTGAAGTTTCTCAAATGCTCATGGCTGCTATTAATATTGAAAGTGAGGTAGAAACTGAGCAACAAAGTGAAGGTTTGTGTCTCCTGTAGTATGCATATATATAGCCAATACCCACTGTACCAAGAGTACTTAAAAGGGAACACACTGTAACACTTTGTTGCAGTGTTTATGCAATAAACATTCCCAGGCATATTCAGTGCGACGAAATACGATCACACATATATGCCTGGTACTACATTAGTGCAGCGTCGGCATGTATAGCATAGCCGACGGCACTTGAATATGATCCACACAAGCATGTGCATATTCCCCTCGCGCCCCCCGCTATCAACAGCGCTGGGCATATATAACAAACATATAAATGCGGCCGCTCCGCTGCCGGCATTCCTGGCAGCGCAGCTGCGAGGCCTTAGCTTAAGCTATAACTGTAAGAATATCAGAAATACATTGAATAAAGTTATATCGAAGGAGACGGATGTCTCTGTTTAATAATACGTATTTACATGGCGACCGTGACAGTGAGACCAAAAAATAATTCTGCAACAACAGTTTTCACGCAAAAACAAAAGAAAATGTGCATTTAAAATACACTTCCAAATGACCGTGACAATGAGACCAAAAAAATAATTCTGCAAAAACAGTTTTCACGCAAAAACAAAAGAAAATGTGCATTTAAAATACACTTCCAAATGACCGTGAACAAGTATGAAATGTGAAACAAACGGAGACAGCAGACAACAAACAACAAAAATAAAAAGAAAAACGCAAGTGCAAGTGTTAAATGGGCTGTCTAAGTCGGAATAAAATATAACATTTGAAAAAAAAAAATACTTTTCTAAAAAGAAAAAAAAAAAAAAATACTTTGAAAATAAACATTGAACGTGTCTCTGAAGCAACGGCCCTCCGAGAAAATGCAGAAGTGGATTCTTCAGTGCTGATCGTTTTCTAGCAGACAGAAAATCGGTGAATATGGGAAAATCATATTGGGATGGCCCCCTGTCTAGCAGACAGAAAATCGGTGCAAAATGAAAAAAAAAAAAACAAAAATACATTTAAATGCATGTTAATACAACGACAAAACCTGTCCCTTAAAATTACATAACAAGAAAAATAAAAGAAGAAAAAGACCTGAAAAGGCACCGACAACGCTACATAGAGCGTATATCAATGACCTGTGCGATGACCGGCACCGGCATCGCCTGAGCCCATAGGCCCCGGACAACTGCAGCGGCGAAAATTACGCGTGAGAGGCCTGTCGCCACTTACGCCACCGTTGGAAACAAACTGGAGACAGATCGTCTTCAACACATAGATGAGCAGCTTCGCCCTGGTGCGAAACAACGCAAACGGGCTGCATAATTGCGAATGCCCCAATTTGCCTTACCATTAAGTTCTACCTTCAAACACCAGGAGGAGATCAAAAAGATAGAAAAGGAACTTTGCAAGAGCAAAGTAACGTAAATAAGGCTGCATTCATTTGCCATTGCCTTCATTTACCATTAACTTTAATTAAAACCACTCAAGCTGCTGCGTGAAAACGCTGCTTGAAAAAAAAAACCTAACCAATTTTTTTATCGAAAGGCTTTAACTAACAACATATGGCTGATATTGAAATTATATCGAGCAAACAAATGTAAATCAGCCATATGACCTAAAATTTTCTATCTTAACATTTTCAAAAAGAAAAATTTAAAAAAAAAAAAAAAGTCGAATACATATATACCCTAATTTTTCAAATTTTTTTTTGCATTTCCAAAAATAAAATTTTCAATTTTCAATTTCAAATTAAATTTTCAAACCCGACTAGCGGAAATATACAACCATGGGTTGGTTCGGGTCTGACGATAGTCAGACCAAAGACAATACGGCCAACGTGGTCAATAATGTCAAAATTATTGATCACACAGATGGTATTCAAGCTTTATGGCTTTTGTTGCTGATCTTAACGATCGTAAACGTTTTACAATTTCTGCTTACAATCTATGTTAAGCATAATAAAATTATCAAGAAAAGATACATGAGTAGGGCAAATAACTTAGATAGGATCTAAAAATGAATAAGGATAAAACAGATCATGATTTCGAAAGATTTAGGTATAGCAACTACATGGTAAAAGTAAAAGTAAAAGGATGGAATGGAGAGAAATTGCGAAACAAATAGACACATTTCGGAATAAATTTGATAAATCTTACAAATGCATCAATAGAGATGCAGTTATAAAAGCGGAAACACTAAAAAACCATATAGAAATATTAGTAAGGGAATACAATAATATAGTTACCTTAGTAAATAGTTATGAAAATAAATTCACATCTGAGCACAATAGTAAATGTTTAAGGGTAATAAAATCCCTAAACACAAGATTGATTACTGTCAGCAATAGGCGACATTCAGATAAACGTGCCAGATAGTCTAAATCAATTGGCGGAGTTTGATCCCGACCAATTTAAAGAATTAAACGAATCAATTCAACCAAGCGACGCTGAATCTGATAGTGACATTGAAACACTGGAGGAAAGCGATCCAATCGAAACCAAACCGGAAATAATAACAATATCTGAAATGGCACAAACAGTTGTAGAGTTTATCAAGCTAGCCACATCTCTGATACCAGAGTTTGACGGTAAGCCGGAAAATCTACAAAGTTTTCTAGATTCTTTAAATCTATTAGAAACCTTAAAAGGCACACATGAGCTAACAGCCATAAGCCTTATAAAAACAAAGCTAAAAGGCCATGCGAGAAATTTAATAAGTAATGAGCAGAACATTGCTGCAATCATTACGCAACTATCAAATGCAGTAAAAGGAGAATCGGTAGAAGTTGTATCTGCTAAGCTTCTTAATCTGCAACAGAAAAACAAAACGTCTAACCAATACACCCAAGAGGGGGAAAAACTGGCAAAGGCCCTTGAAGGCGCCTATATCAGTGAAGGTCTAAGCCAATCACTTGCAAACAAATACAGCACAACAACAGCTGTAAAAGCTATGACCCAAAATTGCTCAATTGATAATGTAAAACTTATCATGCAGGCAGGCACATTCACAAATATGAATGATGCCGTTTCCAAATTTGTCAATAGTTGCACGGAGATAACAGGTCAAAGTAACACTGTCCTGTATTATCGACGAGGTGCAAACAACAATAATAGAGGAGGCCGAGGTTATAATCGTGGCAGAAATTACAACCACAACAATTACAACCGAGGCGGTAAAAACAACAATAATTACAATAGCCGTGGAGGAAGAATAGGCCAAAATACGCCGGAAAACTCTCAGAACCCTTTAGGAGAACACCAGTAAATGCAAAGATTCATTCCGTAAATTACAGTCTTAATATATTTGTCACTTTTTA